ACTTTGGGAGGCAGAGATGGGTGGATCACTTGAGCCCAGGAGTGTGAAACCAGCCTGGGCAACATAGAGAGACCCCGTCTCTAAAAAAAAAAAAAAGAAAGAAAAAAAAAGAAAGCACAAAAATTAGCATGGCATTGTGGCATGCATCTGCGGTCCTGTCTACTTGGGGGGCTGAGATGGGAGGATTGCTGGAACCCAGGATCATGTCACTGCATTCCAGCCTGGACAACATGGCAAGGCGCATCTCTACATAAAAAGGAAAGAAGGCTGGGTGCAGTGGCTCACACCTGTAATCCCAGCACTTTGGGAGGCCAGGGAAGTTCACCTGAGGTCAGGAATTCAAGACCAGCCTGGCCAACATGGTGAAAGCTCGTCTCTACTAAAAATACAAAAATTATAGCTGGGCGCGGTGGCAGGCACCTGTAATCCCAGCTACTTGAGAGCCTGAGGCAGGAGAAGCACTTGAGGAGTGCTCCTCCTCCCAAGAGGGGGAGGTTGCAGTGAGACAGTGAGATGAGATAATGCCATTGTACTCCAGCCTGGGTGACAGAGGGAGACTCCATCTCAGGAAAGAAAAAAAAAGGAAAACATAATATATAAAAGAGTGCAGACAGAGTGTGACTCCCTGGGTTCTAAATCCTGGCTCTGCCTCTGACTTAATGAATGATCTTAGGCAAGTCACTTAACCTTTCTGAACTTCAGTGTTCTTATCTGTAAAATAAGACTTACATAGAGAGTCTGGGACAGTCAATACCCACTTATTATTTCCCTTCCCAGGAGGTCAGCATTACTGCTATGATAACTAAAAAAAAACTTTCTCATAATGTCCATCACAGATCAAGGCCCTTGCTGTACTCCCAGCATTACCAGAGATAACTTTTTTTTTTTTGAGATGGAGCTTTGGTCTTGTCGCCCAGGCTGGAGTGCAATGGTGTGATCTCTGTTCAATGCAACCTCTGACTCCCAGGTTCAAGCGATTCTCCTACCTCAGCCTCCCAAGTAGCTGGGATGACAGGTGTGAGCCACCACACCTGGCTGATTTTTTATATATTTAGTAGACACAGGGTTTTGCCATGTCGGCCAGGCTGTTCTCAAACTCCTCACCTCAGGTGATCCACCCTCCTCAGCCTCTCAAAGTGCTGGGATTACAGGTATGAGCCACTGCACCCCACCAGAGATAACCTTTCTTCTGGTGGACCTAGGAAGCCGTGAGCTAGGTTGTGATTT